GTGTTAACTTATTCATTAATTAAAGTCAATTCACAGTTAAATACTGAGAAACAGGATGATGAAAAAGGATAAACGTTGGTCCATGATGAGATGGACTGGAAAGCAGAAATTCGAATCCTTCATTGGCATGAGAAAACCAACATACTGTCATGCTATTTTATCTTAATTTAAAGAAAGCTCAGAACACCCTAGCAACCACACCTTAGTAACTGCCTAGCAACCACTTATCAACCTCTGTGCTTCCTGCCAACTGCCCTTGAGTCTCAGCGCATGCAGTCAGGTTGGCCTTATCAAGCCAACATCAAAGTTCGTCAACGAACTTTAGGTTCTAGTCTATTCTCTGTTGTTCACCAGTAGAGGACTTCATCACTATATTACCAACTATTCAACTAACTTTATGACAAAATAATCACTTTTACTGTTTTATTATTAAGTGTTATTCTTGTTATTTATAAATTCCCAGCTAATGTTATTGACATTTTTAATATTATCAAAATGGATAATAATGGTTTGGATGGCTCCAGTGGTCAGGTCAAGATTTTCACTTGATAATAAATAACATTTAAAATTAGTTTTAAATCTATGCATAATGTTGAACACTTTAAATATACTGTATAGGAAGGGTGGGCACTGGCTATGCAGCGTGATACTCAACATAAATGAAAATTAACTTAGTTATTAGATTTACCAAAATCCAAAATTTTGGTCCAAAATGCTGCTGCTAGATTTATTTTATAGTAGGAAACATGACGCCATTACCCCTCTTCTAAGAGCCCTTCATTGGCCGCCTGTCCAATTCAGAATAGATTTTAAAGTGCTTACTGGTATACAAATCCCTTCAAAATCTAGCCCCATCCTATCTCTCAGAGCTGCTGCATTATTACACTTCTGTAAGATCTCTTAGATTAAGTGATTAAAATCTTCTGTTAGTTTCTCAGTCCAGAAACGTAGAGGGGACAGACCTTTCTAAGTGGCGGGTCCCTGATTATGGGACACTTTGCCCCTTGAGATTAGAACGGCTCCATCACTGTTTATATTTTTCACTCCTAAAAATGTACCTGTCCAGCTTGGCTTTCTAATATTATTTAAATCGTCCTTTCTACTCCTACATTTTTTTTCAGATGTTTATCTTCTTTTATTTCTATGTTTTATATTCTCTATTTTTATTTTAGTTTGAATTATGTACAGCACTTGAGTCAGTCTTGTGACTGCTTTTAAATGTGCTCTATAAATAAATAAACCTAAACTTGAACTAGTACGTTAAAGGAAATAAACCTTTGTTGTTCTGTTCCCGTTTTACAACACATACAAAACAGCCAACAATTACACACATAAAACCAAATGACCGGTAGCTGAACAGATCCTGCAGTGATTTTTCCACCAGCAGAGGGAGTGGTGAGAGACACTGAGCACTGTAAAAACACTGCTTTTTAAGAAGAGGAATTTAGAAGAGATATGAAAAAAGGCTCAAGTATAGAGTGGAGTGTGACATCACACACCCGCCTACCAGATTTCTTCCTGATTCCAAGAAGGAAAAGACAAACTTCAACATGCAGGTATCACGATTGCTTTAAATAAAAGTTCAATGGGAAAATGTATGGAAATATGTGTGTAATATGTAATATATTTGTATGAAAATTATTATTTTAGTTATATTCTGTGTGTAGTTGTACAAGAAACATTTGGTTTCACTTTGATATAAGCTACGCTTGAAAATCCTAAATAAAATGGTTCATTTTTATATAATTAAACATTTAATGTTATTCTAATGGGGTTGGCTGGGAAGTATAGGCAATCAGAAGCTTGGCCCACCTTGGCCCTACATAAGATAACTTTTTTATTTATTTATTTATTTTTTTTCATAACTGAGAAAGCAGCAAAAGATGTGTCTGTGAGCTTCAAAAAGCATGTTTTGGTAAGCCAGACTCATTTACAATCTTGATTAAAGTATTCCATTTTAATAATTTTAAACTATTTAGGCTGCAAAAGATGAAAGAGAAACTAATTCAGCATAGAGCACAGGTTTCTGTGCGCATCACGCGCGTTACCAAACCACTTCCCTTTATGCAGTCATAGCCTAATTCATACAATAGAAAGTCTTAAAGAACACAAACAATTAGGCAGCACTGAGTAGGATAATCAGGAGATGTATTGTGCCCGCTTAAGTTTATTATAGCTTTTTTCTCACGAAAAGAGCAAATATTAAGCTGCTGCATGTCCTTCATCTTTATTAATAATATCAAGAAGTTAGTTACTGAACTCATTTCAATATCACTGACTCATTTAATTAAATATTGGTGAATTTTATTTATTTATTTTTATAAGAAAAATATAATATTTTTGATTGCATAATAATACATGATGGAAAAATACCCTGACTAATTCGGACATCAAGAAATCCTGATTTTTGGTAAAATAATCTTTGAAAATGATTTTGAAAAATCCAATACATTGCTTTTAAAATTCTATAAATTTTATTACCTTTAAATAATTGTTATATATTATTTATTTATTTTTTTGCCCACCCGAATGTCACTTGGCCCACCCTACAGTTTAAAGCTGGTGCCGGGCCTGGGTTTAGGGTAGTGCTGGACATAGAATAATTGTGATTAACTGCAAAAAAATAAACATTGTTTTGACATAATAAATGTGTGTATTACATGTATTTGATATATGTAAAACACACACATACAAAAAATATATACTAAACTTTTTTTGCATAGAAATTTAAATATAAAGTTAAAGTCAGAATTATTAGCCCCCTTTGAATTTTCCTTTCTTTTTTTAATATTTCCCAAATGATGTTGAACAGATTCAGAAAATGTTTATAGTATGTCTGATAATATTTTTTCTTCTGGAGAAAGTCTTATTTGTTTTATTTCAGCTAGAATAAAAGCAATTTTTTGTTCATAAAAGCCGTTTTAAGGTCAATATTATTAGCCCCTTTAAGCTAAATATTTCCTGATAGTCTACAGAACAAACCATCATTATACAATAACTCACCTAATTACCCTAACGTTACCCTAATTACCCTAGTGAAGCGTTTAAATGTCACTTTAAGCTGTATAGAAGTGTCTTGAAGAATATCTAGTCTAATATTATTTACTGTCATCATGACAAAGAGAAAATAAATCAGTTATTAGAGATGAGTTATTAAAACTATTATGATTAAAAATGTGCTAAAGAAATCTGCTCGCTGTTAAACACAAATACATAACTCAGGGGGGCTAATAATTCTGACTTCAACTATAAATATATACTTTGTAGCACATATTTATATTTAAATATAATTTTAAAAAATCTCAAATATATGCATGTGTGTATTTTTATATAAATAATAAATATATACAATACACACATCATTATTATGTCAAAACAAACATTTATTCTGGATGTGATTAATCTTTGCCCAGCACTAGTTCAGGGTAAATCCTCGTAATCAGATGCTCAAATACACTAACACTCAGTTCAAAATATTTTTAATGTTACTATTAAAAAATGGACATATTTAATGAAGTAATTTCTCTGTCAGGATGAAGGGACAAGCATCAGGAATTACAGAAGAAGAAGATGGTGAACTGAAGAAAGAGAAGCAGATCAACACGAGCAGAATAATAATATGAAGATCAGCAACAAATGAGCAGAGATGATGATCAGCAGAAGTCAGAAGATCAACATGTCCAGCAGAAAGAGCAGAGGTCAGAGATTTTTCAGACACATCTGATTTCACAGAAAATGGAAACAAATGAACAGCTGTAAACCTCATGACCAGTGTTATGGGTGTTTTAAATTATGCATTATTATACTTATTGTAAATGATTAACTCTAATAAAGTGGTAAAGTCATCTGGTAATTGCAGGAATATAAATAAAATGTTTTATGTACAATTGAAAGAGTCTAGTACTGATGTTTTCTGACATGTTCTCAATGTAATTTCTTAAAGCTGTTAGTCGTGGTTCTGCTCACAAAAGAAGTCGAAGCAAAGACCAGAACCCTCCCTTCAGTAAGTACAGATGATCACTGATTATCAGCATGACATAGTCTTGTTTTTAAGGCACCAAAAACATAGTTGTTTCTTTTGGTTTAGTTGAAAAAACATTAAAACTATTGAATTATCGAAACCATATAATTCTTTGCATTGGTATAATGTATTACATATAATAATATATGTAATACATGAGTTATACAATCTGATTATTTTTTTACATGACTTGTAAAATGATGCATTACTTTTAATTTCCAACAAGAGTTACTCCTCATGAAAGTAATCACTATGTCAGCTCTCCTGTCCCAGTGTAGAGAGAAATCAGGAGTATCTGCAGATATGTTGGATGTGTGTATGATGAGTAATCATGATACTTACTGTAGTAACATAGTACTGTAGAACATGTGTGAGAATTTACATTTTCTTCAGCCTGAGGTTTACATACTCCACAGTTCAATTTTGGCATAAAATAATCATACAATTTATTTATATTATTACAAACAAGCAAGTCATGTCCAGATGAATGCAATAGATTATTTCCTTAAGTATTTATTAATTTAAGTATTTTCCTTAAGTCCTCTATTACTTTGTTTCCTCTGGGTTCTCCGATTTCCCCCAAAGTCCAAACACATTGGGCATAGTGTATGTGTGTGAATATGTGTGTATGGTAGTTTCCCAGCGATGGATTGCATCTGAAAGGGCATCCGCTGCATAAAACATATGCAGTACACCTGTGCCACAAGATATGAGATATGAACAAAGGGTTGCAAATGCACCACCACCACGACATCTAACAAAAATAGACAGGCAAACAAAAAATAATAACGAATAGCCCCACCTGAAAGGATCTGCATCCTAGTTCTGTATGGCCAGCATACTCACCAGACATGTCATGGTAATTCATTAAGCATGTCTGGGATTCTTTGCATTGGCATAAATCACTGTCACTTATGGATGCTGGACAACGTAGGTGAGTATCCACGTGCAGTTTACTAAAAGCTTAGTTAGGCAGGCAATGGTCAACTGGAACAAGCAGATGCATGAGGACGATCCAAAAGCAAACTCAGGTTACAGGCAAATGATCGATACAGCTAGCAGACAACGTGAACAAGGCAAGGGTTAAACATGAATAGACTAGACAAAGGAAACGCTTAGAAATTTTACAGGGTATAACCACACAAGATTCAGCCATGTCTGTGTTTGTGTGTGCTGTATTTAAAATCTATGTAATCAGTCCGTGAGCAGCTGCATGACAGGATTTGTAGTCCATATGTTGATGGGATTGTAGTTTGAGTGAAGTGAAGGTTCTCCAGCAAACTGCAGAAGCTAAATCGCTGGTGACTGTAACAATGACAGCTCCAGTTCCTGACAATGTCCACCAACTTAACACAACCATTGAAGAAGAATGTATCAACATTCCACAAGCCATGATCAAGAACCTGATTCACTCTATGAGAAAGATATGTTACACTGCATGAGGCAAGTGGTGGTCTGTTACAACCCTGGCTCTAGGAATTCAACATAAAAGGACAATGCCAATGAAAAAGAGAACCTCATATTACCCAGCCATACCCTGAAATAGCTTTAACTCCCTCTTTACTGAACAGCCAGTACTTTCTTTTCTACTGGAACCCTGGTTCATGGCCATCAACTTTGCCTAAATATGTTACAATGGCTTGTCCAAACTCACCCTTGGAGAAGTTCAAAGGCAGTTTTCTGCTACTAACTGCTTAAACACATTCTTAAGCTAGGTCAAGAGTTGAGACCAGAAAGAACCATAAATACCCAAATCATCAAGGTAACCGTTACACCAGGGGTCACCGAACTTGTTCCTGTAGGGCCGGTGTCCTGCAGATTTTTAGCACCAATCCAAATCAAACACACCTAAACAAGCTAATCAAGCTCTTATTAGGTATACTTAAAACACCCAGGAAGGTGTGTTGAGGCAAGTAGGAGCTAAACCCTGCAGGGACACCGGCCCTGTAGGACTGATATTTTTGACCATGTTTACAAGATGCTGGCACGTAGCAGGTACATTTCTCATTCCAAAGGCCAAGTTCATATTCTGACAAAAGTAACCTGGTTTCACAAAAGTGAAAATCTCACAAGTGGAACCTGCCAGTAGCCTTTCAGTTGCCTTAGTGACCGCATTCACCTTGAAAAAATGTGTAGAAAAACGTGAGCCATCCTGTTCTCAAGTAGTAAACTCTGGGAACTCCAAGCACTTGGGGATGGTTCAGCTATGTCATGTTCCAACATGTACTGCACCTCTTGGTGCAAAAGCTGACATGTCACAGGATTTGTATATTGTTATTATTGGTTTATCTTTGGGCATTGATATTATTGTAGCCCAGTTTGTACCGTTTACAATGTTATTAGATTTAGCTGCTTCTATAATAAAGCAGTCAGGGCATGTCAGAAATTCTCCAGCCCCCAAAACCCCCATCAGACCCCAGAGGGTTATACTTGATACTTTTATGTGGTGTCAGTTACTCTTGATGGAAGGTGAGCTACTGCAACAAAACACAGATTAAAGACTCCCACGCAGCATGTTCACACCAGATAGATGAGTACTGCTCATCCTCTGGCCTTTTGTAAAATCTCCATAGCATCTTCATCATAATCCTACTTATGCACAAGATTTGTTTCATGGCTTTCTTGAAATATGAACAATTCATTTAGACTTCTCAGTCTATTTGAAGCATCTCTTTTAGGAGTTTGTATACTGCTGTAGATGTACTTATTCCTGACAGCTCAGAGATCATTTTAATGCAAATATTCCCTTTCTGCATTCCTTCATCAATTTCTTCATATTTTTCTTTCAAGTCATTGACTTGGCTTGTGAGTTTAGGTACACTGGTCTATAGAGTGACCATTTCATCTGACCTGCTTAATTTCAGAATGTATAGCAGTGGGATTATTCATGATTTTGGTTCCATTTGATCCTTTAGTTTATAGTTAATTGCATCTAAATCTTCAGCCAGTGCTTTCTACAACTCTTAATTTATTTTAGATAATTTAGAGCCAATAATGTCTGCCTTTATCACCTTAAAGTCCATAATCAGATCTTCAGTTCATCCTGTTGAAGTAGCAGGCAATCAGGAATAGCCAGAGTTACTTTGTCCTGAATACTTTTACATATTTACAGAGACTTTCAGCATTCTATAATTGTATTACATTGGTGTTATTTCCTGTTTATTTGTATAAAGAAACCTGTAAATTTTTCAACCTAAAATGATGTTGCAGTATTAAATTAATGTAGGTTTTGCAAGAGCACCGTAATATATGTCTTACTCTATCACACACACTAGTGCCCTACCCCCCAGTAATGCAATCCTTTTAAAACCAACTTTCCCCAAAGCTAGAGATTTTAGCTGTTAGCCATAATGATTCAATTGACACATGTTTTGTGTTTCAGTGAGTGACGAGTCTCCTCTGAGGATTATTCTGGGTAAAAGTGTGTCTGAAAACAGCCGCGTGGAAAACTCCATCTTGAGCCGATCAGCACTTGACAGTAAAGCTCATTCAAATGTTGTGGAGAAAGTCGGAGGAAGACTGAAGATAAGTTTACTGACACAAGGTAATGAGCAGAAACCAGTTTTAGAACAGAACTAAAAAATTACATGTTATTCTGCATTTGTGTTTTATGCAATTGAATAGAAGAACTAGAACATAATACATTTCTAAAGGTCAAAAGATCCAAAATATTAATACTCAGACATTCCACTTATTCAAAAATAAGATCAAAGATCAACTTTCAGTGTTCCACAGGAAAAGCGGATTTTTATACCATTTAAACTAATCATAAAATAACAAACCAATTCTAACTCTATTCCAAACTCTGAATTCCAGGTTCAAGAGTAAACACAGATGATGAAGTGAGGATTGTTCTTCTGGGGAAAACTGGTGTTGGGAAAAGTGCAACGGGAAACACAATCTTAGGAAGAAAAGCTTTTACAGCAGAAACATCCTTTGAGTCAGTGACTAAAGAGAGTCAGAGAGAATCATGTGAAATCAATGGCAGACAGGTCACTGTGATCGACACTCCAGGAGTGTTTGATACTGAACTCACTGAAGAGGAGATCCAGAGAGAAATCAGACACTGCATCTCCATGATTCTGCCTGGACCTCATGTGTTTCTCCTGCTGGTTCCACTGGGACGATTCACTAAAGAGGAGGAAACATCAGTGAAGATCATCCAGGAGGCGTTTGGGGAAAACTCACTAATGTTCACCATGGTGCTCTTCACCAGAGGAGACTTCCTAGGAAACAAAACCATTGATCAGTGTTTGGGTAAACCTGGATCTCCTCTGATGAACCTGATTGAAGCTTGTGGACACAGATATCATGTGTTCAACAATAATCAGCCTGAAGAGCGAACACAAGTGTCTGATCTACTGGAGAAGATAGACAACATGGTGAAGGCAAACGGAGGAAGCTTCTACTCATGTAAGATGTTCAGAGAGATGGAGAGAGAAAAACAAGAACAACAGATGAAGATCCTGATGGACAGAGTCAGAGAAACTGAAGAAGAGATGAAGAAACTGGAGGAAGAGAAAGACAGAATGAAGATGATGATGGAGGAGGAACGACAGAAGCAGGAGACAGAGAGAAAGAGGAGAGAAGAAGAACTGAAGAGAGAAATAAGAGAAGGAGAGAAACATCAGAGAGAGATGAAAGAGGAGATGAAGAGAGAACGAGAGACATTTAGACACGAAATAGAGGAAATCAGGAGAGAAAAAGAGAAAATGCAGATCAAACATGAGACAGAAACAGACAGACTGATGAAGAGAATAGAGGATGAACAAGAGATTCATGAAACAGAGAGCAAGAGAAGAGAAAAAGAGTTTAATGAGAGAGAAGAACAATATAAAAGAGAAATGAAAGAGAGAGAAGAGCAGATGAAGAGAGAACGAGAGGAATGGGAGAAACAAAGACAAGAAAAAAAGATGAAAAGAGAAGAAGAGGATGAAAAAAGAAGAGAGAAAGAACAGAGAGAATTTAATGAGAAACTGAAAGAAGAGAAAGACAGAATGGAGAGAGAGAAAGAAGATCTTCAGTCTAAACATGAAGAAGAAGAAAAGAAGATGAAGATCCAGATAGAGGAAATGAACAGAGAAAGAGAAGAACTGATGAAGAGTTATGAGGAAGAGAAAGAGAAAATGATGATGATGATGGAGGAGGAGCGACAGAAGCAGGAGACAGAGAGAAAGAGGAGAGAAGAAGAGTTCAGAGAGAGAGAAGAGCGATATAAAAGACTGATTAAAGAGAGAGAGCAGAAGGAGAATGAACTGATAGAACAGATGAAGCTGGAGCGAATGCAGAAACAGAAACCAGAGGAACGACTGAGGAGAGAAGAAGAGAAACAGAAATCTGAACTTCACACGAGACTCCAAAGTCCAGTTAGAGAACTCGCAGCAGGTAAGACATGATTTAATAATACTGCACATTATCAGAAGTGAATGTTCATTTGTTTCATTTAAATTTTAAATATTGATCTTAAATATATGTTATCATATCAAACATGTATTTTGATTTTATATTCCTCTACCTGTGGTGGATGTGTATTTGATAAATTAGCTTTGGAGATCATTAGGTCAATATTATTAGCCCCTTAAGCAATATTAGTTTTGGTTTGTCTACAGCAAGTAACTAGGCAGGTTAGGGTAATTAGGCAAGTTATTGTATAATGATGGTTTGTTCTGTAGACTATTGAAAAATATGTAGCTTAAAGGGGCTAATAATATTGTCCTTAAAATGGTGTTTAAAAAATTAAAAACTGCTTTTATTCTAGCCGAAATAAAACAAATAAGAAAAAAAAAAAATATATATATATATATATATATATATATATATATATATATATATATATATATATTCAAAGTATAGATTACAAAAACAGATTCTGCTTTAAACTGGACTGACTGAATATCTACTATTAAATTTATAAACTATTTACAGACAAGTTAACACCCTAAGTCTACAGTAAAACACCCTAAATCTGTTGTAATGCGTTGATCTGGCGGTTGAGTTTGCAGCTGGATATTATTGGGAGATTGCTGACAGGAACGGTGAACAGCTCTGCGTCTAGAGCGTGTCTGAAGCTCAAATGCAGGTTTAATTTACATTCTATGGCAGAAACACCATTGAGCCTCACTAGATCCTCCTGTATGTGTGCACCTCGGTTATAAAACACCCTCATGACATTAATGGTTCACAAAAATAGTTCACACAATAATACACAGAGAGACTTGTGCAGTCTTGCGCAGACTAGTTGCATATGGGATCATGAGGCTGTTTTTGCGCCGAGTTTGAAGCAATCGAAGAACAGGAGAAGATGCATTACTTCGATCATTTTGCTATAGCATATTAGTAATGAAATTTAAAAATTATAGTATAATATCGAGAGTTAATCTCACAGCCTCTGTGTGGAGTTTGCATGTTCTCCCATGTTGGCGTGGGTTTCCTTCGGGTGCTCCGGTTTCACCCACAAGTCCAAAAACATGTGCCACAGGTGAATTGGGTAGGCTAATTTGTCAGTAGTGTCAGAAATTGTAAGTAACCAGAACACCTGGAGGAAACCCACCATGGTGAGATGTATTTTTCTCATTTTACACAATGTTGCTGTTATTTATTTCCAGGGTTAAATGTGGTCCTGCTGGGAAGTACAGGAGCTGGGAAAAGTGCATCAGGAAACACAATCCTGGGAAGACCAGCTTTCATCTCAAAGAAAAGTCTCAGACCAGTCACACGAGACGTCACTGTGGAGTCTGGAACATTCTGTGAACTAGCAGTCACTGTTTACGACACTCCAGGATTGTTTGACACAAAGCTGAGTGATGAAGAGATTCAGCAGATGATCAATGAGAAGGTCCTCCAGAAATGTTCATCAGGTCTGTGTGTGTTTCTGCTGGTCATCAAAGCTGACAGATTCACTGAAGAAGAGAGAAAGACTGTGGAGAAGATTGAGAAGATCCTGGGAGAAAACAACCAGAAAGACACCTGGATTCTGTTCTCTGGAGGAGACGAACTGGAGGAAGAAAACACGACAATACAGGAGTTCATAGAGGAGACAGAAGAACTGAAGACACTCGTGCAGAAATATGAGCACAGATACCATCTGTTCAACAACAAGAAGAAGAAAGATGAGGAGGGACCGAGTGAACAAGTGAAAATACTATTAACAAAAATACTGAAGCCTTACACAATGGGTGAGTACTTTTGTTCAATTAAATACAGATCTTTAGTTCTTTAGTTCTGTTTACTTTCTTTAAACTTTTTAATAAACATTTGTTGCAATAAATAAAGCTTAAAATGGTATTCAGTTTCTGTTTTTTTTTTTTTTCGGTTTCTGTCTCTCAGGTGAAGAGATAAATCCACTGAAGAGAAAAATACCTGAAAATATTGGAGCAGTCTCTTGTGTCTCCAGTCCTCCCTCCAGACGGATTGTTCTTGTGGGTAAATCTGGTGTTGGTAAAAGTGCAGCTGGAAACACAATCCTGGGACAGAAAGAGTTTACATCTGTGATGAGGATGAACTCTGTAACCCGTCAATGTTCCATAGTACAGGCAGATTCAGTTTCAGGCAGATCTGTGTCTGTAGTTGACACTCCTGGATTATTCGACACTCAGATGAAACCTGAAGAGTTAATGATGGAGATCGCCAGAAGTGTGTATATCTCCAGTCCTGGACCTCACGCTTTCCTCATTGTGTTTCCTCTCAACATGAGATTCACTGAACGTGAACAGCAGATTCCTCAGATGATTGAGCTGCTGTTTGGTGAAGAAGTGTTGAAATACTCCATCATTCTCTTCACTCATGGAGATCTGCTGGATGGAGAGTCTGTAGAGAAGCTGATAAAGGAGAACTGTAGATTAAGATCTGTAGTCCAGCAGTGTGGAGGCAGATATCATGTGTTCAACAACAGAGATGAGGAGAACAGAGAGCAGGTGGAGGATCTACTGCAGAAGATTGACTCAATGATACAGCAGAATGGAGGAGAACACTACACTAACCAGATGTATGCTCAGAGATTCAGACAAGAGGAAAGAGAGAGGAAACAGAGAGAAGAAGAGCAGATAAAACAACAAGTGGAGAAACAAAGTCAAAACTGTGTGTGTAGTTGATGTTTCTGGACTGTTTGACACAATGAAGTGAATAACAGAGAGCAGGTGGAGCATCTACTGCAGATTGAGTCTACTGTAGAGGACTTGAAGCGTTTTCTCTCAGTTTAATCTAAAAACTATTAAAACACTCATTAATAAGTTAACCGAACTCAAACATTGCTCTGTCTTATCCCAGTACATTTGTTGTTTGCTCTCCAAATGCCCCAGACACTCTCTTATTAATACTTCATCCTTTTGCAAAACAGTATGATTAATACAGGTGAGTGGGCTTGATAAACCACCTGTAGAAGACACACACACACACACACACACACACACACACACACACACACACACACACACACACACGCACTCTCTCTCTCTCTCTCCTCTGTCTGTGTGTGTGTGTGTGTGTGTGTGTATGCATGTAAATAATAAAAACACTAAACTAATCCTGCTGCTCTTTGCTGATCTGAAGCGCTGCTTTATCTTCAGTTGTAAATCCCCCACAGTCCAAACACCTGCGCTATTCACCTTATTCTTCGAAGGTGAGCAGGCGCAGCCATTTGAATGTTTTTGGCTCAAGACTTCCAGTCTCATTCACTTCCATTCATTCTTAGAAATTAAAAACTCACACTCTCATTCAAAAAATGAATGAATATTTTATTCAACTGTTTATTGTAAAGTAATATGAGTGAAATAAATGCATCATACAATGTTATTTGTGATTATTGATTATTCAGATTATCAGTCTTTCATTCCCTTCAAACCTGTGTAAAAACTTTATAAACAGTTTTAATCATTTAACTTCTTTATTTTTTATACTTGTTGTATTTCATGTTTCTTTTTTTCTTGTTTTTTGTAAATCACTTTGCATCACCATGTGTATGAAATGTGCAATAGAAGGAAATTTGCCTCCATTGAAGGTTAATCTAGATAAATCTCAGTGTTTTCAGTAATTGTGGATTATTTTCTGCAGTTTCAGCAGTTCACCAATAGAGGAGCTCACCACTACATTATTAACCTAAACACACACACACACACACACACACACACACACACACACACACACACACACACACACACACACACACACCTGTGCAACCATTGGGTTTATGCGTTTCTTATATGATGTAATGTTTTGTAATGTATAAGTGTTATTTCACATTCTCATCTGCAGTTATGTATGTTATCAGGTTTTGGATATTATAAACATAAAGGTCTGGAGGGTTTCAGTGATCGAGAACGAGACTTTCACTAGACAAACATTTACAATATGTGTCAAGCCAAACCCTAATGTAATGTTCTAGAACACTCCAAATACACAACACTGAAGGTGCATAGGGTTATTGTATGACATGTTCATACCTTTGCCAGAAAGCAGAAGGAGCACATTTATCTGTTTATTTATATTTAAAAAAAAGAAAAGTTAATAGGTGGCAATATATCCAATATATTGACTAATCCGTCTATTTAGGGGTTAAGTGTTTGTTTCAAAGCAGTTATAACTTAATGCTCAACATTAACTTAATTAGAGTTACACTCATTAAAATGAACATGTCTCTGGAGCTCTGACCTGCAGATGAACAGATCCTGTAGTGATTGTTACCAGCAGCAGAGGGAGCTGTGAGAGACGCTGAGCACTATCAGGAGAATGACGTCACAAACTCCGCCCACACGCAGGCTTCTTCCTGGTTTGGAGGAAAAGAAAAACTTCAACATGCAGGTATCACGTTTGCTTTAAATACAATTTCAGTGAAATCATGCGCAAATATATGTGTACATGTATTGTAGTATTCTTTATATTTATAATATTCTTCATATTCAGTGTGTAGTTGTACAGCATGCAGAAACAGTTGGTTTCACTTTCACATAGAGACGACTGAGAACACAAAACAAAATGGTTCGTTGTCTATGTCTGAATGTTTATTCTGTTTTAAAAGTAAAACGTTTGTAATTGTTGAACTTGAGCTGTGTTGTACTGGTGCTTATTTTCAGCAACATGAACCATTTAAATAAAGCAGTGTTGGATTAAATCACTAAATAGGAGACGTTAATAAGCATATATTCAAGAGAGTCATCAGATACTCAAATACAACAACACACAAACATTTCAGCATTTATGAAATACTGAAGGAAACCAACTAGTATTCAAAACATTCTTATAACAGAATATTAAATATATTTAATTAATCAACATAATTAATGTAGTAAGATCTGTGTGATCTCTTACAGGAGGATGAAGAGACAAACATCAGGAGGAGGAAGATGATGAACTGAAGAAAGAGAAGCAGATCAACATGAGCAGCATAATAACATGAAGATCAGCAACATCAGAAATGAACAGAGATGATGATCAGCTGATGAAGAGCAGAAGATCAACATGAGCAGCAGAGAGAGCAGAGGTCAGAGATTATTCAGACATATCTGATCAAACATCTTTCCTACAGTTCAAAACTAATAACTACAGCGTGTATTGACCAGTCCTATGAGTAAAGATGTCTGAATTATGCATTATTATGCAGCTTTAGTTGGTTTGAGTTTCTACTGTTACATTGTTTAGGTGTTTGCAATGTTGTAAGTGTGATAAAAGCATCTGCTAAATGCAGGAATAAAAGTGTAATGTATTATGTTCTGTAGTAACACTCCAATGCTGATTTTCCTGACATGTTCTCTTATCAATGTTTTATAGCCGTTGTTCGCGGTTCTGCTCGTAAGAGAAGTAGCAGCAAAGAGCTAAAGCCACCTGACTGTAAGTCTTTATAAAGATGATGAGCACTGATTAACAGCAGGTCATCCTTAAGTTTTAGTCAATTATAAACAAGACTGTGTTTCTGTTGGTGAAGTTCATGCATTAAATCCTAGTAAAGTGGTGCATTACTTTTTAATTCACAAGTAAACATTGGCGTTCTTTCTTTAAAAAAGTTACACCAGTTACTTTAATTCTCCCATTTATTTACTGACATTTATTCTCCTGTTCCTCCTGTCCTGTTTATTACTATTAAAAGTAACTTTCTCCAACACTGGAGATGCTTGAGCCACAATATAACATTTAACACATGTTGTGTGTTTCAGTGAGCTCTGCTCCTCCTCTGAGGATTCTTCTCCTGGGTAAAAGTGTGTCTGAGAACAGCCGTGTGGGGAACTTGATCTTGGGTCGATCAGCGTTTGACAGTGAAGCTCCTTCAGATGTTGTGGAGAGAGTCGGAGGAAGACTGAAGCACAGACACGTGACGCTCATCAACAGTCCTCAGCTGCTCCACACACACATCTCAGATGATCAGATCACACAGACGGTCAGAGAGTGCGTGCGTCTGTCTGATCCAGGACCTCATGTGGTGCTTCTGCTCCTCCAACATCAGCAGTGTTCAGCAGAAGATCAAGAGCGTGTGGAGAAGCTGCAGGACTCTTTCTCTGAGCGCCTTCTTCAACACACCCTGGTGCTCAGCACACAAGAGCCCACTGAACCCAATCAGATCCTGCAGAAGATCATCCAGAAGTGCTCCAACAGACACTTCAGTCTTCAGACAAGCAGCTCTGCTGATCATCTTCTGCAGGCCTTTGAGGACATCGAGCGGAGCAATGAGGGACGACACCTGATTTCTGGAGACTCACAGTGTTCCACAGTGGAGAAACGGGACACACAGACACGTGAGTGAGAGCATATCTGATGTGTCTGCTGCTGGATGAAGGGTGTTTAATCTTCTTCTTCTCTTTCAGACTCTGAGAAGCTGAATGTGTTGGTGTGCGGGAGCGACGGCTCACTGAAATCCTCCATCTCAGAGCTGATCCTGCAACACACACACAGAAGATCAGAGAGTGTGAGGACAGACGTGATCAATGTGCTGGAGCTTCCAGCTCTGTTCAACACTGAGCTCTCAGAGGAGGAAGTGATGCGTCAGACTCTCCGCTGTGTGTCTCTCTGTCATCCTGGAGTTCATGCTTTCCTCCTCATTATTCCTGACGCTCCACTCAATAATGAAGACAGAGCAGAAATGGAGGAGATCCAGAAGATCTTCAGCTCCAGAATCAACAAACACATCATGATCCTCATCATGCAGAACTCAGAGCATCAGACAGCAGAACTCAATGAAGAAACACAGGCTGTCATTCAGAGTTTTGGAGGAAGACATCATCACTTCAGTCCTGAAACACAAGTGTCCACATTGATGGAGAACATTGAGCAGATGCTGGAGGAAAACAGAGGAGGTGTTTACTCCACAGAGACATTCCTGGAGGCGCAGATGGAAAATCGGATGAAGTATGAAGAGATGAAAATTAAGAAAAGTAATTTACTGGAGACACCACTGCTGACACAAGGTGAGGAGAATAAAGCCAGCTTCAGACACAAACTTAAAACTAGAAAATTATAGATTTAAACTATTGTTGTGTTATATATATATATATATATATATATATATATATATATATATATATATATATATATATATATATATATATGTGTATATATATATATATATATAAAATAACAGAAGTTCTTGGAATTAGATGTTATCCACTTTCTCTCAAAATGTAAATCTACATATGAAGCCATTTATATATTTATATACAGCTGTTTATATGTATGTGTAAGTGGCACATGTGCAATCACTCATGACACCATCACTAAGGAGTAGGCTCCTGGCCAGAATTCAACTGGTAGTTCGGTGTTAGGATCCTAGAGATGTGTTATCACTCCTCCTTATTCTGAGGGTTACATTTGTAACAGACATTTTCTCTCAGTTGGTCTCTCTGTATAAATTTGGTTGCCAACAAGACAGGGGTCCCTATGGAAAGTGCCACAGTGCCAACTAAAAATAATAATAATAATAATAATAATAATAATGGTGGATGAGGAGACCCCCCCCCCATTGTCTAAAGCGCTTTGAGTGCCCAGAAAAGCGCTATATAAATGTAAGGAACTTTTATTATTATTATTATTATTATTATTAACAATACTGTAAGTTTGGAGTGTTGTAGCTTAGCAAGTATTGTGAGCACGAAAACACTTATCAATGGCATTCAGATCTTGGTTACACATAAGCTTCCAAATGCTTCCCTGAGTCCCAGATTTACCAAATGGTGTCACGATCAGGGTTGGGGAAAAAGGGAGCGAGGACTCAAGTTCACATAAATAGTAATTTATTATTAATTAAAAAAAAAACAGCAAAATAAACTACCCCGAGGGGAAAAACATTAACAAAACAAATAAACAAACAAAGAAACTTGACTGGGCAGGCTGGTAGGGATCAGGGCTGGAATACAAGTCAAGGAGAGAAACGGTGACATACGGTGACGAATGATGACGAACTGGCACAGGACAGAAGACATGTGGGGATTATAAACTGTAGTAAATTAACACACAAACAGATGAACATAATTAACTAATAATGGGTTAACAAGGAGGGTGGAACTAGACAATAGACGGGAGAGCACATGATACAGAGACACCACAAGCCATGCACATAAAACTAAGACTAGAACACGCAGCCAATGAGAGAACTCATTAACTATGCGTTCACAATAACAGGACAAGACTGAAGTGACATGTAAACACAGTGTAAAAAGAGCCACATGCTTGAACAACACAAATAGACGCAAGACACGAGCACACGATAGATGAACACCATACCGTGCGCTCACACATATGCAACGCGCATGTTTCATCTCAGTGTCGACCAAAACCGAAGCCAACTAGACGAAGACGCTGAGAATAAAACAGTGCAATGCTGACAGAACAAAACACAAACACGAGTGCAAGAGCGTGCGCATCCGAGGCATGCAGAGTCCGCGCGGCCGCATCAAGTTGGAGCACGTCTGCTCTACGCACACTCACGATTGTTTATCCTCTGCCGGCCTAGAATAACCGTTTACCAACCTGACCGTTCCTGCTAAATTTAAATCTGGTTTCCAAAATCTTTAAATTGATTTAAATTGGGCACTACTAAAAGAAAAAGATAACAGATAAAAGTGTAGGTTGTGCAAGGATTGTAGGCTAAATGTTAGTTTTGTTTGCCCATTTGTGATGAGCTGATGTGAGTTACGTACCAGTAAACAGACTGTTTCCTAATGCAAGCTGAAGGACAGCACATGTTTGCTTTGCTCTCCCATGTTGGTAAAGCTCGCTTTTCGGACCTTTATACAGATGCAGATTTATTCACACAGACTCTCAGCACTGGTCATGCATTCATCATGTGTAACAGTCATGAGCACTGTCTGTATTGATACTCAATAAGAATGAAAAAATCACAGATGTGCTGTTCTGAAATAATACTGGGACTAAAGAATGCTATGTTGTTAGCCCACCTGCTCCTGTTTAAATGCAAAGAGGACAAAGAGTGGGTCTACTTTCTCCTGGAAATGCTTGCAGGTTCACCATCTGGTCCCGAATCAGAGTTGTGATTAAACTGGGCACACAGCTAGGTGGGGGTCTCAGGATATAGTGAGATCTACTAGGTCCAAACTATAGGCTCAGATTTCCTTCCGTCTTGAACAAAGCCAATGCAACCAGGAGTTCTGTCTTTAAAGACAGGAATTTATGGCCCTTTCCACTGAGGGAATGGTTTATTACAGAACAGAATGGGATGCAACTAAGTCCATTTTCACCGCCAATGGAATCAATAAAGTAGGGCTGTAACGATACACCAATGCCACGGTTTGGCTCAGTTTATGGTATTTGGCCCACAGTAAGCTTTGATTCAAATCCGTTGAGTTTGCTGACGTAAATGGCGTCCTAAATTGAGCTATGGTGTGGAGACATTGGTTCGCTATAAGAGTATTGCGGTTTGTACCATAGAGGGAATAAAATTTTTTTTTAAGTTCAGTTTGAATATTGTTCACCCGTACAAAATAGCAAACCATACCATATCATTTTCTTCCACTTTTCCCTGTGGAGACCTAGCATTACAGTACGGTACCAAAACCATCCTTTCTTTTCAGCTGGTGAAGCAAATTCAATTGCATCCTTCATCAGGAAGGCAGAAATCTCCTTGCAAGACACGGATGGGTTACTGGGGCCACCAAGGCTTTAATATACACTTCTGCATTTGGTGGCTATTTTTTGTGGACTGAATTGCAGAGCCATGTCAGAGTGTTAGAATGTGCGAATGAAATGAGCTGGAAAGCGGTAGCCATGCTAATGCATCCGGAAGAATGAGAGAGAGTGGTTTCGCTCTCGCTTGACAACCATGTTCCCACAGAGAAGCTAGCAAAATCTGACTGTGGGTTTGCAGCTGAAGAAGTAATGTGTTGGTCAGTGACTGCATCTGTTTTGGCAGGCATCTGAGTCCACAAGTGAGGTGGACCATGGCACCAGACTGCTCCTTTACTGCTGAGAAATCCTGGGTAAAGTCCCCAACTATGCCACCTTATACACTAGCCTGGTATATAGGCATGCTTTATTATTCCAAGTGATGGCACTCTTGGGCCTTTATTTTGGCCATCATCCTACCCAGGGCCCTGTGGCTACCCAGCTGTTTGGTGATCTTTCATCAACCCTTGGGAAGAGCCACCTTTATACATCTTAGGGCCTCTGCCTGGTAGAGTTGGTAAGTGGCTATAGCCTGCAGGGTGTAGGTGCCCTTGGACACATCAGTCAGTGTAGGATCTAGCATTGAGAGATGAAAAACAAAAACCTACACACCTTGGATGGATTCCCATCATGGGTAGATGATTATTAGAACATTCAAATTCATTATGAAATGTCAAACCATTTCTTACTCTATTTTAATGCTTTTTTATATTTTAATATTCCAGAATTTAGAGTAAACACAGAGGATGACCTGAGGATTGTTCTTCTGGGAAAAACTGGAGTTGGTAAAAGTACAACAGGAAACACAATCTTAGGAAGAAAAGCTTTTACAGCAGAAACATCTCACCAACCAGTGACTAAAGAGAGTCAGAGAGAGACATGTGAAATCAATGGCAGACAGGTCACTGTGATCGACACTCCAGGAGTGTTTGATACTGAACTCACTGAAGAGGAGATCCAGAGAGAAATCAGACACTGCATCTCCATGATTCTGCCTGGACCACACGTGTTTCTCCTGCTGGTTCCACTGGGACGATTCACTAAAGAGGAGGAAACATCAGTGAAGATCATCCAGGAGACGTTTGGGGAAAACTCTCTAATGTTCACCATGGTGCTCTTCACCAGAGGAGACTTCCTGGGAAATAAATCCATTAAAGAGTTTCTGGGTAAACCTGGATCTCCTCTGATGAACCTGATTGAAGCTTGTGGACACAGATATCATGTGTTCAACAATACCCAGCCTGAAGAGCGAACACAAGTGTCTGATCTACTGGAGAAGATAGACAACATGGTGAAGGCAAACGGAGGAAGCTTCTACTCATGTAAGATGTTCAGAGAGATGGAGAGAGAAAAACAAGAACAACAGATGAAGATCCTGATGGACAGAGTCAGAGAAACTGAAGAAGAGATGAAGAAACTAGAAGAAGAGAAAGAGAGAATGAAGATGATGATGGAGGAGGAACGACAGAATCAGGAGACAGAGAGAAAGAGGAGAGAAGAAGAACTGAAGAGAGAAATAAGAGAAGGAGAGGAACATCAGAGAGAGATGAAAGAGGAGATGAAGAGAGAACGAGAGACATTTAGACACGAAATAGAGGAAATCAGGAGAGAAAAAGAGAAAATGCAGATCAAACATGAGACAGAAACAGACAGACTGATGAAGAGAACAGAGGATGAGAAGAAGAAAAGAGATGAGGAGAATACAGAAAGAGAAGAGAAATATACAAGACAGATCAGGGAGAAAGAGGAGAAAGAGAGAGAGATGAAAGAGAAGATGAAGAGAGAACGAGAGGAAATGATGAAGGAAATAGAGAAACTTCAGCTCAAACATCAGACAGAAACAGAAAGACTGATGAAGAGAATAGAGGATGAACGACAGAATCATGAAACAGAGAGAAAGAGAAGAGAAGAAGAGTTTAATGAGAGAGAAGAACGATATAAAAGAGAAATTAAGGAGAGGAAACAGAGTGAAGAAAAGATGTGTGAGGAGATAAAGAGAGAACGAGAGGAATGGGAGAAACAAAGACAAGAAGAAAATAATAGAAGAGAAGAAGAGGATGAGAAAAGAAGAGAGAAAGAACAGAGAGATCGGGAGGAGTTAAATGAGAAACTGAAAGAAGAGAAAGACAGAATGGAGAGAGAGAAAGAAGATCTTCAGTCTAAACATGAAGAAGAGGAAAAGAAGATGAAGATCCAGATAGAGGAACTGAACAGAGAAAGAGAAGAACTGATGAAGAAACATGAGGAAGAGAAAGAGAAAATGAAGATGATGATGGAGGAAGAAAAGAAGAGGAGAGAAGAAGAACTGATGAAGAGTCATGAAGAAGAGAAAGAGAGAATAAAGAAGATGATGATGATGGAGGAAGAACAACAGAAACAGGAGAAAGAGGGAAAGAGGAGAGAAGAAGAGTTCAGAGAGAGAGAAGAGCGATATAAAAGACTGATTAAAGAGAGAGAGCAGAAGGAGAATGAACTGATAGAACAGATGAAGCTGGAGCGAATGCAGAAACAGAAACCAGAGGAACGACTGAGGAGAGAAAAAGAGAAACAGAAATCTGAACTTCACAAGAGACGCCAAAGTCCAGTTAGAGAACTCACAGCAGGTAAGACATGATTTAATAATAATTGTTTGCTCTTCTTCATTTTAGTTGATCTCAGTGTGTGAACATCATCTGTGAACAAATCATGAAGGTCAAGCTTTGCCTATTTTAAATAGATGTTCAAACATGTTCAACATGAGAAACTTCACATCAGATTCCTCCACTTGTGATATAAAAAGCTACATTAGTTTCTCAGCCCTGTTTTGTAAGAAATTGATTGCTGTTTCTCCCAAATTAAACACACTTGACTGAACTGATCTGAGGACTCAAGACCAGACTCTGCTTTAATAGAAAAGAGAAACATGTTAAACATGTAATACTGGAGGCTTTCAAACCAGGCCTGAGAAACACAGCATTACATCACAGTGATGGAGAATGAAGAACACAAACTATACAATTTCTTTACCAAACTATATCTGCAACCATTATTTACAGGATTTTACTCTAAATACATAATGAATAACTGATGATCTGATGATGAACCACTGAATTTCCAGAGAATAATGTGCATTAATCTGCTTATACTCTGACTCCTGCTGCTGCCTCTGTTCAGATGTTGTATTTCAGATGTTTGTCGGGGGTTTATCATGGTGAACTGATCTTTATGTATTATTTGTCTTCATTTAAACATTGGTAATGTTTACATTTATTTCTAGGTCTGAATGTGGTCCTGCTGGGAAAAAGAGGAGCAGGGAAAACTGCATCAGGAAACACAATCCTGGGTCGACAAGCTTTCATCACAGAGAAAAGCCCTAAATCAGTCACACGAGACGTCACTGTGGAGTCTGGAACATTCTGTGAACAACCAGTCACTGTTTACGACACTCCAGGATTATCAGATATAGAGATGAGTGAAGAAGAGATTCAGCAGATGATCAATGAGAAGGTCCTCCAGAAATGTTCATCAGGTCTGTGTGTGTTTCTGCTGGTCATCAGAGCTGACAGATTCACTGACGATGACAGAAAAACTGTGGAGAAGATTGAGAAGATCCTGGGAGAAAAACACCAGAAAAACACCTGGATTCTGTTCACTGGAGGAGACGAACTGGAGGAAGAAAACACGAGGATACAAGAGTTCATAGAGGAGACTGAAGAACTGAAGACACTCGTGCAGAAATATGAACACAGATACCATCTGTTCAACAACAAGAGGAAGATGAAGAAAGATGAGGAGGGACTGAGTGAACAAGTGAAAATACTATTAACAAAAATACTGAAGCCTTACACAATGGGTGAGTACTTTTGTTCAATTCAATACAGATCTTTAGTTCTTTATTTCTGTTTACTTTCTTTAAACTTTTTAATAAACATTTGTTGCAATAAATAAAGCTTAAAATGGTATTCAGTTTCTGTTTTTTTTTTTTTTTCGGTTTCTGTCTCTCAGGTGAAGAGATAAATCCACTGAAGAGAAAAATACCTGAAAATATTGGAGCAGTCTCTCCAGTCTCCAGTCCTCCCTCCAGACGGATTGTTCTTGTGGGTAAATCTGGTGTTGGTAAAAGTGCAGCTGGAAACACAATCCTGGGACAGAGAGAGTTCAGATCTGCGATGAGTGTGTTTTCAGTAACCTTTAAATGTTCAGCAGCTCAGACCACAGTTTCAGGCAGATCTGTGTCTGTAGTCGACACTCCTGGATTCTTCAACACTCAGATGAAGCCTGAAGAGTTAATGATGGAGATGGCCAGAAGTGTGTATATCTCCAGTCCTGGACCTCACGCTTTCCTCATTGTGTTTCCTGTCAACATGAGATTCACTGAATATGAGCTGCAGATTCTTCAGATGATTGAGCTGATGTTTGGTCAGGAAGTGTTAAAATACTCCATCATTCTCTTCACTCATGGAGATCTGCTGGATGGAGAGTCTGTAGAGGAGCTGATAGAGGAGAACAGTAGATTAAGATCTCTAGTCCAGCAGTGTGGAGGCAGATATCATGTGTTCAACAACAGAGATGAGGAGAACAGAGAGCAGGTGGAGGATCTACTGCAGAAGATTGACTCAATGATACAGCAGAATGGAGGAGGACACTACACTAACCAGATGTATGAAGATGCTCAGAGATTCAGACAAGAGGAAGAAGAGGAGAGACAGAGAGAAGAAGAGGAGAGACAGAGAGAAGAAGAGGAGAGACAGAGAGAAGAAGAGAAGAGAAAACGACAAGAGGATAAACAAATACAAGAGGTGATTGAGAGAGAGATAAAGAAGACTGCGGAGAGAATCAAGAGTGAAGATCAAGGGAGAAAACAAAGCGAAAACTGTGTGTGTAGTTGATCGTCTTTTGATTGTTTGACACAGTGATGGAGTGAATAACAGAGAGCAGGTGACTGAGGAGGACTCGAGGTCTCAGTTTCATCTAACATCATTTAAAACACAACACACATTAATAAATTGAACTCAAACACTGCTCTGTCCTATCACAGTATATTTGTTGTTTTCATATGCACCAGACACTCTCTTATCAATACTTCATCTTTCTGTAAAACAGTAAGATTAACACAAGTGAGTGGGCTTGATAAACCACCTGTAGAAGACACACACACACACACACACACACACACACACACACACACACACACACACACACACACACACACTCTCTCTCTCTCTCTCTCTCTCTCCTCTGTCTGTCTGTGTGTGTGTGTGTGTGTGTGTATATAGATGTGAATAATCAAAGACTAACCTAATCCTGCTGCTCTCAGCTGATGTGAAGCGCTGCTTTATCTTCATTTGTAAATGGCTTTGAAGAAAGCCTGTGCTAAATGAACAGATGTAAAAATGTAGAATAACCGTTTCTCACTCTAATTATAATCTCTGATACAATAAGGGATTTCACTCAAGTCAGTATTTTATTCATTTGTTTATTGTGAGGTAAAAAGAGTAAAATAAATGCATCATGCAATGTTGTCCAAGTTTAATCAGTTTAATCAGATTATTTTCTTTGTTATTCCCTTTCAACCCGTTAACTTTATAAACTGCTTTTAATCATTTATATTCTTTATTTTTATCTTAAACTTGTATTTTATGTTTCTTTTATTCTTTTTTTTTTGTAAACCACTTTGCATCAACACCGTGTATAATATGTGCTGTATAAATAAACCTCCCTTTCCTTATAAGTTTAATCTTGATAAATCTCAGTGTTTAGTGTAATTGTGGATTACTCTCTGCAGTTCCAGCAGTAGAGGAGCTCACCACTACATTATTAACCTAAACACACACATACACACACACACACACATGCATTGTTTTTACTGTGTTTTATTTTTTGAAGTGTTATTTTTGCATTCCCAGCTGCAGTTTTATGAATGTAATCAGACATGGACGACTGTATTGGCACAGTTATAAAGGATTAATATAAAGTATACTCCAGAATACACAAGTTGCAGACGTGTATATTATGGTATGTTCATATCTATGATGTTTAAATCTGCAAGATATGCATTTATCTGCTGATATTTTTGCTTTACAAAAGAAACAGAGAGAAACAGAAGGTAATATTATTGGCCAAAGTTCATGTTGTAAAGATATGCCACAACCATAACATAATAACCTCATTTATTTATTTTCTTTAATGCAAGGATGACTATACATCATAGTCGAAGTTTTTAGTGATGCCAAAAGCATCTGGCTGCAGACTTGGAGAGACACACCAACACGGGTATAACATGCAAACTCCACACAGAAATGCTAACTTACCCAGCCGAGGCTAGAACCAGTGACCTTGCTGTGAGGCAACAGCACTACCCACTGTGCTGCTTTCATTGTCCAATTCCTGTAGATGTGTAATACTTTTTATTTTAAAATTCATTTATTTAAAATTGGAATAATAATCAGTTATTTACAGTATGCTGTTACTGTTCATCTGTTAGACAAATCAGTGTTTCTTAGATCAATCTCTCAGTACTACACATACAAAAATGTGGGGTTGTGCTTAGTTATTTTGTAATCTGAGTTTATGAGTTTAATTGTTTTTCTAATAAATATCTTATGTTTCTCTACATTAATATTGGTTCATTGTCATTTCCACTACCGCACACATTTTTAAAAATATTTAAAAAGTTCTCATCACACAGTGTAAGTTCATGCTCTATTTAATATACACACTCAGTTTATTTATTTTCGATTAAGCTCTTAATCAAATTAATATTACATTTTAGAGTGTGGCAGGTGTACAAATCAGCGTTTGGTCCTAAAGGACTAATTTATTTAACCCTCTACTGCACGATGTCACCATATGACAACATGTTATTATGTTCATTTCCCTGCCACTGTTTCTAAAAGACCAACTGTAACGACAGGGGGGTGATACTGACAACAGAAGGTAGGATCCAAATGCAGGTTTATTCAAAGTCAGGCAAGCGATGGTCAATTCAGGTGCAAACAGATATATGTAGACAACCCAGAATCATAGTCGAATAACAGGCAAAAGGTCAAAAGGCAGGCGGCAGACAAGGACAAAAGGATAAGCTAGGCTAATAATCAAAAACATGGCAAAGGCAGACAAAGGAAACCGCGTTGTAATGTCACTGATACAGCTAACAAGACTCGGCAATGTGAATGAGTGTGTGTGTGCTGCTCAAATAATGTGTGAAATCAGTCTTGAAGCAGGATCAGCTGTAGGAGTCTAATCAGTGGAGACTTGGGGCAGGTGTGTGTATGTGTGGCATGACTGAATATGTAGTCCATTTACTGGCAGATTTGTAGTTCCATGAGTGAGTGTTTACCAGCGACCTTCTTGCTGTGAGGCGACAGCACTACCTACTGCACCACTGCTTCGCCCCTAAATCATTTCAAATAACAAATTATATTAATATTAATTATAAGAAAAGTTCTAAATTAGAAATGAATTAACAAATGTATATTTATTACACATATTGTGGAAAGATTGGTTAAACTAGATACAGAAATGATCTTAGACAATGTTTGACTGCCATAGTTTATTTCATTTTTAAATAAAAGCTGTATATTAAGATTAGGTGGAATTGACATTTGTTCATTTCATGAAGGACAAAATTTTTTATTTTTCCTCTTATCTAAGTTCGTCCTCTTACAGATCTTAAAATATCAGATTGCTTAAACTTATAAGGCTATGCTACATTAATCTTACATTAAGTTTATTTACTCAACTTCACAAGGCTAAAAGTGCCAGCAGTTGAAGAATGGCCCTTAAAGAGATTTGTTGGAAATCACGAGTACTTAATTTTTACTTTCCTCTTATTGGTTTTGTGTTATTAATGTATTTTTCTTAATTTTTTTTAACAGTTTTATATATACATATTTATAATATAATTTAACCTGCTCTGTTAAGTAACTTTCATTGCTACTATCACTGTCTTTTTTTGCAGGTTCAAACTGGTATGTTTTGCAATTGAAGCGTCACTAAAATGCCCAATTACAGTACGTTTGTTGCTTCCTCTCCATAAAATGTGTAAATGTGTAAGTTTATTTTTCTGTGTGATATATTGTTACTTTTCTAATGACAAACATAACAGAATATATAGGTAATTTATTCATTTTACTATATAGAAATTTAACAGGGTGGGTTGGGTGGTTGGGAGGGGAGAATGGTCTTTGCAACAAAAACTTTTTCTAACCAAGGTGACCGATTCGATCCTATAAAACACGTCATGGAAACTTTTAAATCTAATATTGATGAAAAGGATTTTGTCAAGTTCACACAGAAACTGACTTTCGTTTATTTTGGAAACACATTGGCTCATTTATTAAAGATAATATCCAACAACACAAATCTGTCATTCTTTAAATATTAGTTTTGGTTATTATGAATCTTTTTCCACTAAAGAAATGCCTGTTTTGTTTTGTTCTAAATTCTATATCCACAAAATTTAAATTTACCAATAACAAACCATACTATAATGTTTTGTAATGATTGCAGTTATTATTTAAATACAATTTCATTAACTGAAAATAATCCAGAAGTACTGTGATTGTGTAATGACTTTTAGTATCAATTACAGTATATAAATTAAAGTCTTAGACTTAATTCATGTGCTTTATTTTTTCTGACTCTTTTTTTCCCATTGACAATGTAAGTAATTGAGTTCATGCGCCAAACAAATAAAGAAATCAGGGAAATAAAACATCTAGCCTTATAGTCTGGGGTATTTTTGCGTATGATCGCTCTTATGTTTCCCTTTTAAATGTAAGGCTGCTGCATAAAATAATAAAGTAGTTTTAATTTATAGTGACGTTCTTTGCTGCGTCCTCCTTTATGTTTCAATAACGCATAATAATCTTTACACCATATTAAACACACAGCAGACAGTAAAGGTTTTACAGAGTTTTTGTCAAGTTTAAAATGTTTGTTTGTGCGCGTTTAGATGCCTGTTTGTGTGTGTGTGAGACCGGGCAAGAGCGCTCCTTCACAGCTCTGTTATGCCGCGTGCGGCTTTTTTCTTTATTTATTTTGGAGATAATACACAATATAAATACAACAGAAAGACATAAAACTTAACAAATTACGTGCCCACTTTCGTAGACTTTAAACAATGTAGTGTCATATCTTGATAAAATAGCCTAAACTATACTGAAATATAATTTAAAGAATTACAAATACCGGATATATATAAAATCACATTAAATAAATTAACCAATATAAAATAAACAAAAGCTAGCTAGAACAATGTAGGTAGCCTATATACAATACATAAATCAAACCGTTTTAAAGCCACATATAGCCTAACTTTCATTTTACAAGGACCTATGTGAAAAAAAAGATTTTAGATATTTTATAAAAACAATTAACACCGGAGAAGGTTTGAAATATTATTTATAAAGTAAATATTTATAAAGTATTTGGATGCAATGATATTAATCAAATCACACAAACAGAGCATTATTTGGGTGAGTGAAAGCAGATCTAGCCTATACCTTTTTTTCTGTCACTCAGTCCTGCGCAGCACTCGCTGCTTTAAACGCATATGGAGGAAAGTCCAAACCCAAAATGTGTTCTATATCCTCAAACAACTGTTTATGTTTTTATATGATGTGGTTAAATTTATAAATGAAACTTTAAATGAAGAGCTTTAGTGAATAGCTGCTGAGCGCAACAAATATGGCTATATTTTATTAGGCTACTCGCTCTTGTGCTGAAACACTGAACACGACGTCTATCAAAACGAGGATGTTATAAAATACATGCCATATCGAGTTATAAAGGAGAATTTCTGTGGCTTTATATTATGGATGTGTGCGCTCACTGTGTTGGGTCCCTCCGTTAGTGGCGAGAGCACTCGATGCGCAATGCCAACAGTCGGTCGAGGAGTAAACAAATGTAATGAATGGAAATACACAGGTCTGTGCGTATAGACATGTCATGTACTGCTGTACAGTAACGTGTCGTTTGTTTGTTTCGGTTGTCTTCATTTTAATGGTTTCGTTTCGTGATGATTCTAGGGTGTGCTTTATCTGCTTGATTCCCGCTGGAGTGGGCGGGTTGTGTGACGTTTGATTCGGGGACGTTCTGTGGGCGGTGTTTGCGTGAGGCGCTGTGAGCTACTAGCCCGACAGTGGAAACGC